TGTCTTTTTCAAACTGGGCTGCTGCATTCTTAGGGTAAATTCCTAGAAGTGGAATTCCTGGGTCAAATGGTATTTCTATTTTGAGCTTTTTGAGGAACCTCCATACTGCTTTCCACAATGGTTGAACTAATTTACATTCCCACCAGCAGTGTAGCAGGGTTCCCCTTTCTCCACAACCTTGCCAACATTTGCTGTTGTTTGTCTTTTGGATGGTGGTGATCCTTACTGGTGTGAGGTGACAAACCCCTTTTAAATCATGTTCTGAGTTGTCAATTTGCCAAAGCATATTCACAGAAGGACAACTAACACTGTTTAGTTCTCATGTTCAAGATAACTGGTTAGTGAAATACAAAGATGGGAGTCTTTGGATAAAGTTAACATTCATCCCAGAAGGTCAGGTTAGAGAGGGAATGCCGAGTGTGATCACACCGCGTATTCAACACTCTAGAGCGAAGCAGCTCAAGTAGGCTGAAAAGATCTCAAAAAGGAATTCTATGGAATGAAAATGGTCACAGAAAAAGAGGAGTAATGTCCAAAGAAACAAAAAACACTGGCTAGACACCACTCTGACTAACTTAGACTTAACCAGATATATAAATATGAGAGGTGAAAGAACCACATAGCAAAGTACAAGCAGACAACAATGGCATAATTTGGTTAAATATATCAGGAGACTAAGACCCAGAATGAGGCTTGCAAAAATGTCAAGGACAACAAAAAGGGGGTTTTAAAATGTTACTCAGGGAATAAAAGCCTCCTAACCAGGATGGACAATTTTATGTTAATAGATGACAGAGTGCAAAGCAGACTGCTCAACTAGTTATTTGTCAAAGAGAATGATTATCAGACTGAAAAAGTCCGAACAAATATTGATTTCAGAGAACTGAAGAAAAAAAAAAAGAGGCGGGGAAATTCTAAGACATTGCTTAGCATTCCACGTTCACTTAGGGCTCCTGGACAGATGAATGAATCCCATGACTAAGAGAACTAACAGCTGAAACACCTGCCCTATCTGGCGATCTTTCAGAAATCCTGACATGGGAAATGGGGGTGATATGAGAAACTACTGAAAGCAAATGTTACCCTAATCTTCAAAAACGGTTAAAATCACAGCCTGGTTAGCCCAGCACTGACTAGGAAAGGGAGATTTTATTTTCCAAAAAGTCACGGCCCTACTTCCAGTCCCACAGGATCTTCCAGAATCTTGTCACTCATCAGGCAAGTATTTAGCCCCTGGAACCTGGGCAAGGCTTCATGGCTGAGTGCCTCAAGAAATAGAATGCAGTAGAATTGACAATGAATGACTCCTAAGTTACTTTCTCTCCCTCTGTCCCTATGGCCATCCTTCCCTCTTTCCTTCTCATGCTATGAGGAAGCTCAAAGTAGCCTATGCAGAGACATCAGGTAGATAGGCTCATGTGGAAAGAAACTGAGGGCCCCTCCAACAGCTAGAATCAACCCAAGACATATGAGCAAATGGATCTTCAGACTAATTCAGCCCCAGCCTTTGTGCTTTCTAGCTGTGGCCTCAGACATCATGGAACAGACAAATCACCTCACTATTTCCTGTTCAAACATTAGGAAAGAGTCTAGTATAGAAAATTGAGATTATTTTAATTCAGAAAAGATGATCACTAGGAGCCAGTATGATTTTCCTTTGGAGAAAGATTTTTCAGGAAACAACTGAGATCCTTTTGAACACAAAGTATATCTTACTCATCTTTGTATATCCAACAACTAAAAGAGTACCAAGCACACTATGGGCAAACAACAAATATCTACTGATTTGAAATGTATTGACTTTATTTCCTTTTTGGTAGTAGAATGTAGAATGTTAATCAAGGAAAAACTATAAGACACAGGATATATGAATTCAGCAAGTGATCTAACAACTGTGCTATAAACAATACTGTCAAGAAAGTTAAAAGCATTTCTCAAGAAGGTATACAAGTGGCTAGTAAGTACATGAAAAGATGCTCAACATCACTAATCATTAGCACAATGCAAATCAAAACCACAATGAGATACCCCTTCACACCCATTAGGATGGCTATTACTTAAAACAAATCAGCAAATATCAAGTGTTGGCAAGGATATGGAGAAAATGGAACCCTTGGGCACTGCTGGTGGGAATGTAACACAAGGTAATCCCTGCAGAACACAGTATGGATATGATCCTCAGTTCCAATTCTGGGTATATACCCAAAAGAAATGAAAGCAGAACCTCAAAGACATACCTGCACAGTCAATGTTCACAGTATTGTTTGCAACAGCCAAAAGGTGGAAAAACTCATATGTCTGTGGACAGATGAATGGATAAGCAAAATGTATCCATTATGATGGGGTATTACTCAGCCTTAAAAAGGAATGTAGTTCTGATATATTCTACAACATGGATGAACCTTGAAGACATTATGCCAATTAAAATAGACACAAAAGGATATTGTATGATGCCAAATTTATAGACAGAAAACTGAATGGTGGCTGCCAAGAGCTGAAGGCAGAAGAAAACAGGAATTATTAAGGACTACAGAGTTTCAGTTTAAGAATATGAAAGGATTCTAGAGATGGACAGTGGTAATGGTCTCAACAACAATGTGAATACCCTTAATGCTACTTAACTACACACTTAAAAATTGTACGTTATGCATATTTTACCACAATAAAAATAGTTTAAAAAAAATAGTAAAAAGACAACCCAATTAAAAAATGAGCAAAGGACTTGAATATACATTTTTCCAAATAAGAAATACAAATGGTCAGTAAGCACATGGAAAGATATTCAAAGCCTTTATTATCAGAAAAAAATGGGCTTGGCCTCCACAGGTATCCGGACGATGCTGAGGTTGTGGCTGCATCCAGCCCACCGTCTCCTGGACTTGCCATAGGAATGAGGAGGGAGATGTCTAGGCTGGCATCTGCATACAGTGAGACAACGAATTTGACCGGATCTGTACTGTTGGAACTCAACCAGGAGTTGGGAGGGGTGCAAGTTGTAGCACTCCAAAATCTCATGACTATAGACTATCTATGGTTAAAAGAACATATGGGATGTGAACAGATCCCAGAAATGGGCTGCTTTAATTTGTCTGATGGTTCAAGTGCAGTTGGACAATATCCATCATATC